CCTCTTGAATAAAGTCATTGTAATGTCATTAACTAGTGTCATGAATACATTTTTCTTCAACAGGAGTGTACCTGAGAGCTCAGAGAGAAGGATGGGAGTTTAACTTCCCACTGCTTTCAAAAGGGCAGATGTTTCTGGTTATTGATTAAAACGGGACTACAAAGAGAGGAGAAAAATGTCTCCTCTAATCATTAACATAAGCTCTAGTTTGTTCTCAGCGCATGTCTTGTTATCAGTTGTTTTTATAACAAACACACTTGAAATTTTGCGGGGTGACTCAGCCTTTCTTATCAGGGCTTCCCCACTTCCGAGCTGAGCCCTCCCACCGCCACTCCTTCCCCCCCCCCCCCCCAGTCTCCTCCTACACATGCAGTGCAGTGTCACCACCCTGAAGGGCTCTCAAGATAACTATATGAAGATGCTCTGTACCTTTAAAATACTATGTCAACTTAGATGTTAATAGTAGCCCCGGGGGACACATTCCTGTGGCTCTGCCAACGCAAAATACCCGTCCTGTTAAGACTTTTAAGATACAGATTTTGACGTTTAACCTCTTAGGAAACTTGCAAGTCATTGTTGTAAAGAAGAATGGCGGGGCATCTTCTCTTCTTCAGACTCGAGCATCCAGATGAGACAGTGAAGAGTGGAAGGAGTAGGATGCACAGGGAGAGTCTGCCCACATTTTCTACAGGATGTTGTGAGGGCAGCAATGGAGAATTGCAGCCAGATCCCACTCCATCTGAGCCCAGACTGGCTCTTCCTGTAAAAGTTCATGAGGCTGGGTGTGTAGCGAGTGGGGCCGGGAGGCCAAGAGGAATAGCTGGAAAGTGAAATTGGATGGTCTGAGTATAGAGTGGTAGGTCCTTACTATGTTGTAATATATTTGGAAGCCCCTTAAATCCTATTTGACACAAGGTGACGTGTAAAGGCTCAAGTCAATACATAGCGTGTTGGAACTTGTGGGACATTGTCAGGGCACCTCTTTCAAATCAAATGTAACAGAAATAAAAAGAACCAGGGAAGGGGGACCTCTGAAAAAGATCCAACAACAATACTAGAGCAGTAAGCTTCAAAGTGATGAGTAGATCCAACAGCAGCAACTCAATCCCAACGGACATGTGTTGTGACCTCACATGCAGAGAGCTGTGCCTCAGACATTAACCTTTAAATGTTAACACAAGCCCCTACAGTAGAGAGATAGTGTCTACTTTAAGAACTGGCACAGAAGAGGGCGCCTGGGTGGCTCAGATGGTTAAGCGTCTGCCTGCGGCTCAGGTCATGATCCCAGAGTCCTGAGATCAAGTCCCGCATCTGGCTCCCTGCTCAGCGGGAAGCCTGCTTCTCCCTCTCCCACTCCCCCTGCTTGTGTTCTCTCTCTCGCTGTCTCTGTCAAATATATAAATAAAATCTTAAAAAAAAAAAAAAAAGAACTGGAACAGAAGAAATAACGAAGAGGAGTGGAGTGGAAGCTTCGGAGCTCTGTGCAGGTGGTGCTGTACTCCCTGCAGGGCTGAGGACAGCGGACCACAGAGCAAGGGGATAATTAACACAAAGATGTAGCCTTGGACCAGCCCAAGCACATGGATTCCAACGACACAAAAGAAAAGGGATGTAGAAAACAAATCTTAGAGAACCCACCTGCAAGAGATGTGAATGCCAGACAACAGTTAAAAAACAAACAAACAAAAAAGCCCACAGTATAGCATCTGTAAGAGAAAACACTAAAGAAAATGTCATAACGTACCCCTCCTTCTCAGGAAGTACCCACACATCTCAGAGGGAATAATAAAGTAATGACAATTACTGCTGTTTGGTGAGGTCTTACAGGCCCCAGGCACTGACCCACACATTTAAACATATTTAATCTTCACGGCTACTCCCTGGGGAGAGTAGACTCTTTGACTCTTTGATAAAATAAGAGAGACTCTTATTTTATCAAAGACGACACTGGGGCTTGCAGAAGTTGGGCAACATGCCTAGGTCACACAACTGATAGGAGGTTGAGCCAGATTTAAACTGGCCATGGGTGTGTGCCGTGCTCTTCATCAATGTCCTAGGGAGACCTGAGTGCTCCTCCTGGTTAACTCTATGACCTTGGGCCCAGATCCTCTACCTATAAAAATGATGAGGCCAAGCTGGATATGTTTCAAGAGGCTCTTCCAGATCTAAAATGTTGAGTTGGTTTCAAATCAAAGTCTATAGTTTATAAGAGAGACATTTAAGTCAGAAGGCACATGAATCATACTCATGAGCAGACTTAAAAAATATAGGGGTTGCCATCATGGTAGCAGATAAAGTTAATCAGGAAATTTAAAAGAACACTGAGATATGCATCAAGGTCACCATCAAAGGTAAGACATACATAGAACAATGAAAGCCTAGAGTAGTACTGAATGCACATACCCTATACACACCCTAGGGACATGCATAAAGGAAGAGCTAGCAGAAATGCAAGGACTGTATGTAGATCTCTCTCTCTCTCTCTCTCTCTCTCTCTCTCTCTCTCTCTCGCTTGCTCTCATCTATCTACCAAAAGGGTACTGATAAGAAGTTATATCTGGGGCATCTGGGTGGCTCAGTTGGTTAAGTGTCTGTCTCTTGGTTTTGGCTTGGGTCATGGTCTCAGGGTCATGGGATCCAGCCCCACAACGGGCTCTGCACTCAGCACAGAGTCTGCTGGAGATTCCCTCTCTCTCCCTTCCCCTTTGCTCTTCCCCCTGCTTGTGCTCATGCACTCTCTCTCTGAAATAAATAAAATCTTTTTAAAAAAGTTATACCTAACAGAATGGGAGTGGGGATGGGGCAGGAAGGAATAGAAAATGGAACTGGAAGGTGTAAGTATTAAATAACAAGGGAAAAATTTATGCATACATTGTGTGAACCTAAAGGTAGAGCATAATAATACCCTGAGGCAAATAAATGAAAAAAAAAATTCATCTTGCTCTTAGACATAAAAGATACTTAGCAATTACCAAAAGGCAGAAAGTCCATGTATCATATTATCCCAACAACATGTAATCATCTTGAAAGAAAATAAAATGAACAGAATTAGAAAGGAACTCAACTACTTGAAAATTTTGAAATGCTTTCTTTAATAATTTCTGAATTGGATGCAAATCCCTGCATACAGTAACAGAAAGGATTTTTTTTAATGAAAAGAAAGCTCACTATCATAAAAATTGTGATAATATCCAAACCCTATGTAATGAGCGGACAGTTTATAGATAAGGCGAGAACAAACATTACATCACACGAATGAATGCACATCTCTCCTAGCTTAATGAAATGCAACTTAACATTTGTTAGGACTTCATTCCATGCCTATTAAACTTAAAAAAACAAAATGATAAGCCCAATGTTGGCAGGTTTTTTGTGGTACCAGGCTCAGCACTGGAGGGATGGGAATGAAAAATAATGAATCCCTGCCCTTGTGGAACCCAGTAGAATGGACATGGCAGACATGGCGGACTGTATGTAAGCATCATCATGAGGTGTTTAAAGTAATCCTTGAGAGTAAGTTACTGGAAGTGGTTAGTTTGTTAGTATGAGGGCTGAGATGTGTGTCACTAGAATATAACTGGGAGTTTTGTCTTACTCACCATGGTGTCCTCAATATTATGGAAGCCACTGCCCACCACAGGGCAGATCCTCAATAGACACTTGGTGAATGAGTGCAATGTGCATATGGAATTATAGCAAAACCTTAAAACACAAGTTCTGTCTTATGTAACTCTGGTTATACCCACATACTCTGGTTTATATGTTCATTTTAAAGCTCAAGGGGATTTTGTAAAGATCTAAGTAGAGCATATTTCCCTCTCTGTCCAGATATTTAGATTCATAATTTTTAAATTAAAAAAGTATTCACACATACCCATACCACCATGTATTCTATTCTACTTTGGAGCCTTATGGGTCTAGATTTATGGATGTAGATGAGTTGTCCTCAACCCTGGCTGCACACTAGAATCCCCTGGAGCTTTAAGTACACTCCATACCTGGGTGCACTCCTAGACAAGCCCACTAATTTGTCTGAAGGTGATGCCCAGGCATCATCGATTCTAATGTTCAGCCAAGATACCAAGGCCTCTTAGGCAGGAAAACTCTTCCATCAAATTTATATTTTCATTACATCGGATGTACTTGGTCATTCTTGAGAATAATCCTTTAAGAGGTTTTTGTGAAATTCTGAGTTCAAAAATACCCTTCTTGTATTGTGAAGAAAAAAGTATCTGAACTGGGTGTATCAAGATGCTGGGGTGCCTCTGTGCCATCCTTCCCCTGATGTTAATGTCATGGGTGGGCAGACTAGGCTAGCCTTGATAGCCTCTGATCTAATAGGAGAGGATTGTTGGAGGTTGACTTATCAGGCTGCGTTTATCTCAAAGGGAAGAAAGTTCTAGAAGTTCTCCCAGAGGCCAGAGGGAGAAGCCAGGCAGGAGTAAGAAGAGCCTGGATGGAAGGAACTTGCCTTGATAGTTGACCTAAAAACCATTTTGTCCATGTGATAAAAGGAGGCTTGAAGGTCAAGGTCTGGGATTGCTGATCATTTCTGAAGACACAAAGGAGTCTGGCAACCCAGATTTTAGGCTGTGCATCTCTTGGTGGGAGAACTCCACATGGGAGCTATGCTTTTATCCTGGGTTCTGTGGAACATTCTCTGGGACCAGGGTACCCAATGGCACGCACTCTACATGCTTGCTGAGCTCTGTGCTGTCTCCAAATCATTTGTCCCAGTGCCTCCTGGGTTTGTCTTTCCAAGACTGGGGTTCAGTCTGCCTGTCTTCCCCTACCCACCTTGTCTACCTGTCCAAAGTTTGGAAGGGTTCCTAGGTCTGACTTGGAGCATGGCAGGAGCTCCCTGTATACTGGGACCAGCTGGGTCATGGATGGCCTCTAAATCAAGCTAGGGCTTGGGATTAAAGAACCTCCAGTGGGCGCAGTTTCAAACCCGTGCTAAGGGATCTTAGGGTAACTGCATCCTCATTCCCCTCCTCCAGGTTGCCCATTCTCCAGGGAGGGACGTTTGCTTTTGTGGCACCCTCCCTGGCCATGCTCTCCCTGCCTGCTTGGAAGTGCCCTGAGTGGACATTCAATGCCAGTCTGGTGAACACCAGCTCTCCTGAGTTCACTGAGGAATGGCAGAAGAGGATCCGAGAGGTAACAGGGCAAGGGGGGTGGAGGGGACAATGTCACACGCCTACTGTATGTTTGATAATCTTGCTCTAGTTCTATTTTTTTTCCCCCTCCTTCCAAAGTCTGCACTTGTACTTTTGTAAATGAACTTTTAAATTTTAGGTTAACACATATAGAAAATAACACAGTAAATTTCCCAAAGCTGAACTTGTTCCTGTTACCAGCAAGCACCTGGATCAAGAAACAGAACATTAACGCCACCCCCAGAAGCCCCGTCATGCCTCCTTCCAGTCACTCCTCCCCTGGGGATCATCGCTGACCTGATTTCTAACACCATAGATGAGTTTTGCCTGGTTTTGAACTTTCTATACAGAACTCCACAGTACATACTAGTTTGCGCCTGCTTTCTTCATTCAACATGATTTTTTTTTAAAGATTTTATTTATTTATTTGACAGAGAGAGACACAGCGAGAGAGGGAACACAAGCAGGGGGAGTGGGAGAGGGAGAAGTAGGCTCCCCGTGGAGCAGGGAGCCCAATGTGGGGCTCGATCCCAGGACCCCGGGATTATGACCTGAGCCGAAGGCAGACGCCTAACGACTGAGCCACCCGGGTGCCCCCATTCAACGTGATTTTTACAGGAGTCTTCCCCATTGTTATATGTCAGGGTAGACTCTTCATTCTCTTTACTGAGTAGTGTTCCATTATATGATTATACAGCAATTTACTTCTCTATTCTGCTGTTACCTGAACTGTGTTTAAGGGTAGTTTCCAGTTATTGGCTGTTATAGATAGTATTGCTATGGACATCTGTGTACTTGGTTTTAGGTGAACTTATCTATGTATTTCCATTGAATAGACATGTGGGGGTGGAATTGTTGAATCATAGGGTATGTGTACCAGTCAGGGATCTCCGGAGAAACAGAACCAATGGGATAATATAGAGATACACACAAGAGGAGATGTACTGTAGGAATTGGCTCACGTGGTGAGGGAGGCCAAGTAGTCCTTGAGCTGTTTGCTACAGACGTTGATTTTCATGCTGGTGGGCAATCTGGGTGGCCAGTCATTTTTGTAGTAGTCTGGGCCGGGTCTTCAGTTGGCAGAAGAGGCAAAGCTCAGACCAGCAACACTGTCAATACCAGTTTTAAAAAACATGAAATCCTCCCATACTCTGAAATGTCAGGCGTGGGCAGACTGCCAGCTCCGTGATGGGCCATACACTCTCCTATTCTCCCACCCAAGGCACCTGTGCCCATTGCTGTTGACAATCTGGACCATCCTGGGCAACGCAAGTGCCTTCAGATGGAGATGGGGATTATGTTGTTTGGGAGCCCGCGTGCACATGGTTTGTGGCCCAAGGTATCAACTCGTGGGCCCTGTGACTACATTCAAAGTCATACTTCCTCCCTCTTTTTAAGACTCAGGGACATCACCACGAACCACCTATATTTGAGATTTAAATATAAACTCCTGTCCCACACAAGGTAAAATTTCAATAGAGCCTTGTATGATCCACTTGCCAGGCCAAACTGCTAGTCGTTGGCCACACCCCAAGCCCACAGGGGCGATCCCGAGCATCTATGTGTGCGTAGTCAGCCGCATCACACGTAACTCAGCCCATTGGCTGGATTTAGACTTGCTTTCCTTCTTCCACCAAGGGTCTTCTGTGGAAATGTTAAATACTCTAACAGCCTCCCCCTTTCTCAGTTAGGTGAGCAGCACCTTTAGCAAGGCTCTAACCCGGTCTTTCTGAATTTAGGGACTCACACGGTGAAACTCAAGTCTTTGTTGCTAGAGTTAGGTTACATTGTGAAGTAGTGTCTGTCCCAGGGGAGGGGGGATTGTCACTGGCTCATGAATCCTAGGAACCCCTCCCGTGTAACTGCCTTTTCTTTACCCGACCATAACTATGTCCTTTAATTTTTTAAAAAGATTTTATTTATTCATTTTTGCGAGAGAGAGAGAGAGAGAGAGAGTACAAGCAGGGAGAGAGACAGAGGGAGAAGCAGTCTCCCCGCTGTGCTTGGAGCCCAATGCGGGACTCAATCCCAGGATCCCTGGGATCATGACCTGAGCCAAAGGCAGACGCCTAACCGACTGAGCCACCCACATGCCCATAACTATTTCCTTTAATTAGCAAATGTTGTTGATCTGTCCTTCCTTACTTGAATGTCTTTCTGGCCTCACTCGAGATATGGTTGGGGTCTCTGATCTTAGAGTTATTGGCACCATTCACCAGTGGTCTAATTCCAAACAGTGCAGACTAGTTAGTAATGGTCTGTCAAAGAGGGAGAGGGGAGGAGGAGCTGCTCCAGACCCCAACCTCACCCCCACCCCCACGGCAGAACGGAAGCTCCTGGCTTCTGACAGGGTCCGTCCTCATTCAGCGTGGGTTCTACTACCAACATGTCAGGGACCACTGGGCTGCGAGGGCACAGTAGATCTGTCTGAGCCATAACCCGTGAGTTGCAGCCCAAACCTTCTGCGGTTCTTCTTCCCTTTCAAAAGCATCCTTTTGGCACACGCCTGTGCTCTGATAGACAGGCTGAAGGTGCACGTACCTCCAAAATCTCATCAAGCCCTTGTGCTTCCTTTTTATCTCGGGGTGGACCCAGAGTTAACAAGCTCTTGAATCTTTAAAGAACAATCCCATGGTAGCTCTGGACGAAGATATGCCTAAGAATTTCACTCGTCAAGCTGGTGGGCCCTGGGTTTTTGCCAGGCAGGCTGGCCAATCTCAGAATGCCATGCGCTGTAGCGCCTTCTCCAAATTAGGCTGTGCTTCTTCAGGGAAGCCTGTTTTTACGGTGCCATCAACAGAACGAATCACGGAACACTTGCGCGGCTTGTGGGTGTTTGTTTATCTGCTGTCCCCCTGGGGAGCCCATATTTGGCTTCGTTAAATCCAAATTAAACTTAAGCAAAGAACAAGAAGTGGGGGTTCCTCACCCTGCTCTGCTAGATGCCAGGGCAGGATTTCCCTTCGGCGCAGACCTGCTGAACCCTGGGGTTTCTTATGCAGGAGTCTCTTGCCTGCATCCTATCCAAGAAGAAAGATCTGACGAGTTCATTTGTCTCTCCTCCTACTCAAGCACTTCTGCTCAAATCTTTCCTGCGTCCTAACGAAGCATCTGCCTCCAGCCCTACCATAGCCCAACTCACAAACCTGCAGCGCATTCAGAAGAAGTTATCTTGTTTTGAGGACACTGGGCAAGCGTTCTGGAAAATAATTTCCCTGGGGCTTGAACAGTATTAATAGTGAGGGAGGTGTTTAGGGATATGGGTCATGCTGTACCTGCATTAAACATGGGATCCCAAGTGGCAGAGACACCATATTTTCTTTAATACCTTTATTGTTTATTTTTGTGGTTATGATATATGGAGTCCTTTAAAGTCCTTTAAAGGAGTATGAAAACTACAGCTCTGTGACCAAATCCAGCCTGAGGTCTGTTTTTTAAACTGCTCACGAACTAAGAATGGTTTTTACATTTTATTTTATTTTATTTTTAAAGATTTTTAAATTTCTTTTTTGACAGAGAGAAACAGCGAGAGAGGGAACACAAGCAGGGGGAGTGAGAGAGGGAGAAGCAGGCTTCCCGTGGAGCAGGGAGCCTGGAGCGGGGAGCCCGATGCAGGTTTCGATCCCAGGATCCCAGGGTCCCAGGATCCCAGGATCATGACCTGAGCCGAAGGCAGATGCTTAACGACTGAGCCACCCAGGCGCCCCTGGTTTTTAGTTTAAAAGGTTGTTTTTTTAAAAAAAGAGTATGTGATAGAAAGCGCACATGGCCCACAAAATCGAAAATATTTACTATCTGGCTTTTTACAGAAAAAGTTTGCCAATTCCTGCTCTGAAACCCAGGGCCCAGGGTAGAGATTCCTTTTGCCCTAAGACAATAGTCTCCACTGTTTTTTTCCCACGTTACCTCCAAGGGTCCAACCCAGTGAGCCAAACCCGGAGCCCTGTCTGTGGTAGTTGAGCTCCATCTGCTGGTCCAGTGTTTTTCACCAGTGCTGTAAGTAGGAGAAAGTTCTTGCCTCATTTCATTAATTGGATTGACTGGTTGAATTCGCCAAGCCAGCCTATTGGAATCTAAGGTAGATTCTCCTTGTTTAACTGAGTTATATGTATCCACACACATCTCAAGGATTGAAACCACTGGTGGTCAGCACACCAACTGTGTATCACTCTACGAGCCTATGAAGGTGATGCAAATATAGGACCAGTAGGAAGGTCGTTACTTACTGGGCTTTAAGTAACGGGGAAGTGAAAGTGAACAGTCGTTCTATTTTAAGGACATGGTGGTAGCAGAAAAAGTAAAAAACTGGGAAGAGGAGGCAAGTTCAGTTTTTAACACCTTAGACCAGTCCAAACTTCACCTTTCAGTACCTGGTAGTTTTTATGTAACTACTTATGTGTCCTTAGATATAAGTGAAATGAGTGACAGCAATGATATAAGGGATGAGAAGGAGGGATTTAAGATTATTTTGTTTTATAAGGTGCTCACCCTACCCATGAAATGGCATAGTGTTATTTGAAAGTGGACTTGGATTAGTTGTAAAAGTACATTGCAAACTCTAGGGCAACCACTCAAAAAAAGTGAAAAAGAAAGAAAGAAAGAAGTATAACTGATATGCTAAGAAAGGAGAAGAAAAATGAAATGCTCAATTAAAACCACAAAAAGAGTAGAAGATAAAAATAGGAACAAAGAACAAGGCCAACAAATAGAAAACGGTAATGAGTATGGTAGATATCAACCCAATCATATCAATAATCACTGTGAATGTCAATGGATTAAATGTACCAACTAGATGACAGAGACTGTCAGAGTGGTTACGAAATACATATGACCTAACTATATGTTGTCTATAAGAAACTTACTTTAAATACGAAGACACATAGGGACACCTGAGTGGCTCAGTCAGTTAAGCATCTGCCTTCGGCTCAGGTCATGATCCCAGGGTTCTGGGATCGAGTCCAGCATTGGGCTCCTTGCTCAGAGGGGAGCCTGCTTCTCCCTCTCCTTGCCTCTCTCCCTGCTTGTGCCCCCCTCAAATAAATAAATATCTTTAAAATAATAAATATGAAGACACATAGAGATTGAAAGTAAATGGATGGAGAAAAATATACCATGTTAACACTAATCAAAATAAAGTAGGAGTTGCTCTATGACTTTCAGAAAGAGCAGACTTTAAAACAAGGAAAAGTTATCAGGGATAAAATGGAATGCATAACATCCAAACTAGAAGAGTAAGAAAGGAGGCTTTAAGTAAATTTAATCAGTCCAGTCGATCAGGGGTTGGCAAACTACAGTCCATGAACCAAATCTGGCCTGCTGCTTGTTTTTATATAGTTCACAGGTTAAGAATGGTTTTACACTTTAAATGGTTGAAAAAGAAGACTACTTTTTCATGATATGTCAGAATTATATGAAATTCTAATTTCAGTGTCTACACATGAAATTTTATTGGAACACAGCGAGGCTCATTTGTTCACATCTTGTCTGAAAAAGTTTCAACAGAGCCCATATGGCCCATCAAGCCTAAAATATTCACTATGTGGCAGAAAAAAAATTTGCCATATCTTGCAATAGAAAGTGGGAACACAGAAAAATAAAGCCGCAAGAGGTTCAACACGCTATGGAGTGATGTCAGTTAACATCATCATCATCACTGTGACCAGTAAATACTTTTGAAAGCTATTTCCTGAAAACCTCCAAATGAAGTGAAAATGTCCAACAAGTAGTTGGAAATCCAGAGCCGGAGAGAGGAGCAAGAACAGGGCTCTCCTTGCCTCCATTGCTCTGGGGTTCAGGTTTGATCCTGCACTGCCTCTGTGCGTGGCACCTGGGGGGGCCCGGGTTAGAAGTGGGCTGCACAGCTGGGTTTGCCATGATGGCTGGAACTGGGCTGAGGCCCACAGTCTCTGCAAGCTTCAGGGTGTCTGAGCTGTACTTTCTCTCTTCAGTTGCAGGGCGCCATCATGGTTGCTTCCTGTGTCCAGATGCTAGTGGGATTCTCAGGCCTCATTGGGTTTCTCATGCGCTTCATTGGCCCCTTGACCATCGCTCCAACCATCTCCTTGGTGGCCTTGCCTCTCTTTGATTCTGCGGGCAATAACGCTGGGATCCACTGGGGGATTGCTGCCATGTAAGTGCTCTCTGGGAATGGAGTGTCAGCTCAGTTCTTTCTGGTGGAAGATTACCCAGTAGGAATAATGTGTTCTGGATATTGGCAAACTCTTGTGGTTTACAGATAGTTTCATAAACATTATGATACTTAAAAAGTGGTGAAATTGCTACCATCAGTTATTACTACTATTTGTTACATTATTAGTCCTCAGAAACCGTAAGTTAATGACAGGCGGTATATAAGAATACTTAGTGTTTACAGAACATTGATACTGCGGGTCCTCTGCCTGCTAGGTTTTCACTGAGCCAATGTTTGTAAACCTCTAGTACCTGGGAAGGGTGCAAAGACATCGCTCCAGCTCTCAGTAATCTTATAGTGTAGGAGAGAGATGAGCCTCAGGTCCAAGGAGCTATAACACCAGGAGACAGTGATGAGCATCATAGAATGCTGTGCATGGTCCAGGGCAGGGGGTGATGACAGCCAACGGCGAGGATCAGGAAGGCTTTAGGGAAAAAAGAGGCCTTAGGCATTTCCACAGCGCTGTGAAGGGACTTGGGGTTGGCACTGGACATGCTCATTCACGCCGCGGTGATGGTCTGACCAAGAGGACTAGGACTTGCACAATGACCCGGGAGAGAAGACAGTCTCCGACTCGGGCCTCACTGGCTCCACCTGCTGGGATCTGTCCAGCTGCTGACCCGCCGGGAGTAACAGCCCCCCTTCCCGGTATTCCTCTCTAGCCACCAGCAGCTCTGAAAGGGACCAGCCCCACCATCTCAGGGATGGGGCCTGCCTCCTTGGGGACGCTCCCAGTGTGGCCCGGCCACCCCGTCCCGGAGACGCGTGGTGGCTCAGCTTCCTGGACCCTTGCTCAGGACGAGCCCCAGCTTGCCAGGCTGGGCATGGCTTGTTTCTGTTTCAGGACCATCTTCCTCATCGTACTGTTTTCTCAGTACCTGAAAAACGTCGCCGTGCCAGTGCCGATTTATGGAGGAAAGAAAAAGTGTCACATGTCTAAGTTCTACCTGTTTCAGGTCTTCCCGGTAAGAAGCACCCCTGCCCTCTTCCCTTCTTAGTGGACTAAGTGCCCCGGAGAGTGAAGGGCAGCCTCTCGCACTCCCAGTAGGTTCCCAAAGCAAATGCTTCCCCGTGTGCAGGGTCTCTCCTCCCTGACCCCCACTCCTCTGCCATAGAAGGAGGCTGAGGGGAGCCCCACCGGCCGTGGGAATGCTCCCTGGCTGTTGGTGTAATGCCGTCCCCGTCGCTCTGCAAAGCTTCTCATCCCGGAGCAGAGAACCCTGCCCTAGGTCGCAGCTCTGGGCACCCGTGTGGGACATCCTTGTCACATGTTCCTGGGGCCGTCCCCATAGCAAGGTTCATGGCTAATTATAGAAAACTGAGGACCCAGTTGCTCAGATCAAGTTCTCGGTGGCTCGTGACAACACTGGTCCCTCACTTTTCAGACATTCCTCTGCTGGATTTGCATCTTGGTGTTAGTTTGTGTGGCTGCCAACCACCCAATACGTTTTCAGGTTTAATTTAACTGTGAGCTACATTTCACGTTGTAAAAAGATACTTCCACATATCACTGATCTCTCACCGCCCTGCAGGCTGGTGGTTCTACCATTCTGCATGCACAAGAATCACTTGAGGACATCACTAAAAATACACCTTTCTGGGGTTCTGCCACCAGGAATTAAGTATCAGTAAAGCTTCAGGCTCTGTAGAGCACTGATTGTCATTTTATTGTACAGACGAGGAAACTGAGGCTCGGAGAGTTTGATCCAAGGTCATGTGACCAGCCAACAGTGGAAGGGGAGACAGACAGTAGTCCTTCGGACCCAGGCTCTGCCTATTCTGCTAGACCTTTCTGCCTCTATTTGACACAAAGTTTTCCATGGTTTATATCCTACATTTCTTTAACGTGCTAATGACACAGATTGCAGTGGTCATTGCAAGGGCCAGTAGCCCAGCATCTCCTCACTTCAGAGAGCCTCCCCGACCTCCCTCCCTGGCCCAGCACCTCTGGAAGGTGTCGGCAGGGGCTGGGCCCTGGGCTGGGTAGTGAAGGGGCTCCCTCTGCAGGTGCTGCTGGCGCTTTGCATCTCGTGGCTTCTCTGCTTCGTGCTCACAGTCACCAACGCCCTTCCTACAGCCCCCACCGCCTATGGGCACCTGGCCCGTACTGACACCAAAGGCGATGTGCTGAGCCAGGCTCCTTGGTTTCGCTTCCCTTACCCAGGTAATGAGAAGATAGGGCTCCTTTCTGCCAGGGACACGTGTTTTCCAGGACTGTCCATGGGGTCAAGGGCACTGAATGGAGAGTTGAATAGAGCCAGGGGATAAATCTCCTCCAAAAGATCTGACAAGGAAGAGCAGGCCCTAGGGGGTCCATGGGAGACCCCTAAGAGAAGGAGACCCTTGGGTTGTCCTAAGAATCCTCTGGGGGTGTTAGACCAAAGGCTCCTACTCCTGGACCTTCTTCTCATCCCCTCCTCCATGATACTCAGAACCCATGGTCTGAGAGCGGGCAGATCAGAGAGGTCTCGACCTTCTAGCCAGACCTTTGGGAGTCTTCCTGGATTAGTTGGATTCTACCCAAGGGAGCCTTGGGCTGACTTAGAACATTTCTAAGTCAGATACTTAAAAAATATGAGGTCAAGGCCATCCCTTAGCCCACTTCTGGTTGCCTTTCCCAGCACTTTTGGCTCAGGGGTATTAATAACCAGGTCCAGGGAGGGCTGGCCTGGCCCTGTGGACTGTGGAGCTCGTTCCTCCCTGAATAAGAATGTCTGCCTCCAAATGCTTCAAGATCTGCCCAGGAAGGGGCCCTGCTGTTGGCTGTTTTTGCTCACAGTGACCTCAAGGTCTGGGTGTCTGACTTGCCCTCGGGGAGGAATGGTTGGGCAGGAGTCCAAGCCAAAGCCTCCGGACAGTTGTGGGGTTGGGAGATACACTGCCTGGTCTTTCAAGCCTTCCAAAGACCCCCTCCAGCAGAGAAGTTATTTTGGGCTCAGCAACCTGCTGTCTTCTGGATTAACGTTCCCTCTGCCTCGTTCTTGCAGGACAGTGGGGCCTCCCCACCATCAGCCTGGCTGGGGTCTTTGGGATCGTTGCGGGGGTAATCTCCTCGATGGTGGAGTCAGTAGGCGATTATTATGCCTGTGCCCGGCTGGTGGGGGCCCCACCCCCTCCGAGGCACGCGGTCAACCGCGGCATCGGCATTGAGGGTCTTGGCTGTCTTCTGGCGGGAGCCTGGGGTACAGGGAACGGCACCACCTCCTACAGCGAGAACGTCGGGGCGCTGGGCATCACCAGGGTAAGTCTGCCGCCCGTGACCTTAGGCTGGGTGCCTGCATCTGTCACCCACCTGTGACTGCAACAAATGATCACAAACGCAGTGCTTTCAAACAACTCGGATTTGTCATTCTCTTGATCTGGAGTTCAAAAGTCCAACACGGGTCTCAGGGAGCTAAAGCAAAAATATTGGCGGGGCTGTGTTTTCGTTAGCTTTGATGCAGGTCTTTGTTTCTTGTTCCTTATGAGGATTATAAACACAACCAAAGAATTCATTTTGATGTGGGAAATCCTTACCGCATGTCTTGTCAGGAAGACATTTAAATAAATAAGCTCTTAGACTGGAAAGAACAATAAGCAAAGGCAGGATCTGCTACTTTATCACTGCTGCATTAGTGAATTCAGTAGTTGCCACTTTTTAAAGATACTTAAAAAATACTTTTAATTGTGGTTAAAGACGCATGACATAAAGACTGAAATCTGCACCAATCAAACAACTCCTTATTCTCCTTTATCCCCAGCACCTGTCAACTAGCATTCTAGTTGCTGTTTCTATGAATTTGACGACTCTAGGGACGTCATCCTACAGTATTTGTCTTTCTGTGACTGGCTTATCTCACTTAGCAGAATGTCCAGGACTGTCCACAGACAGTCCAGTAATATTCCACTCCATAGATATACACCGCATTTTGTTTATGCCTTGTGTCTGGATTTCATTCTAGCTCCTCTCTGTGGCCCTTACAGCCCTTTATGGTGGAGCCCTTGCCTTGCTCTTCATCCATCTCCTATGTGTCTCTCTGTCCCCCTGCGCTCCAGACACATGGATTTTCCTTCCCGCCTCCTCCCCTGTAGCTTTACTGAGATATACTTGATTATAATATAACATTGTGTAAGTTTAAGCTGTACAGTGTGTTTATTTGATACTCTTCCATTTTGCCATGTGATGACCACCATTACCTAACACTCCCATCATGTTACATAATTACCATTTTTTTTTTTTTATGGTGAGAACGTTTAAGATCTACTCTCTTAGCAACTTTCAAGTGTGTAATTCGGCTTTGTTAAATATAATCACAATATTGTACATTAGGTCCCCAGAACTTACTCATCTTCTAACTGGAAGTTTGTACTCTTTGACGAACATCTCCCCATTTTTTCCACCCTGAAGACCCTAGTAACCACCACTCTACCCTATTTCTGTGAATTTAGCTTTTTTATTTTTTTACTTATTTTATTTATTTTTTTTAAGAGAGAGAGAATGTGTGAGCAGGGGTGGGGAGGGGCAGAGGAAGAGGGAGAGAAAGAGAGAATCTGAAGCAGACTCCGTGTCCAGCGTGGAGCCTGAGGCGGGACTCAATCTCACAACCCTGAGATCATGACCTGAGCTGAAATCAGAGTTGGACACAACCAACTGAGCCACCCAGGCGCCCTGATTTTAGCTTTTTTAGACTCCACATATGAATGGTACCATACGGTATTTGTCTTTCTCTGACATATTTCACTTAGCATAATGCCTTCAAAGTCTATCCATGTTGTTGCAAATGGAAAGATTTCATTTTTTATGGCTGAATAATATTCCTCTGTGTGTGTGTGTGTGTGTGTGTGTATACCACATCTTCTTTCTCCACTCATCCATCATTTAGGTTGTTTCCATGTCTTGGCTGTTGTCAATCATGCTGCAATAAACATGGGTTGCAGATATTTTTTCAAGTTAAAGTTTTGGTTTCTTTGCATAAATACTCACAAGAGGAATTGATGGATCATATGGTAATTCTATTTTTAATTTTTTGAGGAAAAGCCATGCTGTTTTCCATAGTGGCTTTGCCAATTTATGTTCCCATCAACAACACACAAAGTTTCTCTCTTCTGCACATCTCTACCAACACTTGTTATTTTTTATCTTTTTTATAACTGAATCTAACAGATGTGAGGTGATATTTCATTGTGGTTTTTTTTTTTTTTTTAAGATTTTATCTATTTATTTGACAGAGAAAGACACAGCTAGAGAGGGAACACAAGCGGGGGGAGTGGGAGAGGGAGAAGCAGGCTTCCCGCAGAGCAGGGAGCCCGATGCGGGACTCGATCCTAGGACTCTGGGATCATGACCTGAGCCGAAGGCAGACGCTTAACGACTGAGCCACCCAGGCATCCCTCATTGTGGTTTTGATTTGCATTTCCCTGATGATGAGTGATGTTGAGTATCTTTTCGTGTGTCTGTTGGCCATCTGGATGTCTTCTTTGGAGAAACGTCTGTTCAGTTTCTCTGCCTATTTTTAAGTCATTGTTGTTGTTATCATTGAGTTGTATAAATTCTTTATACATTTTTTATATTAATCCCTGATCAGATAGATGGTTTACAAATATTTTATCCCATCCTGTAAGATGTCTTTTTATTTTGTCAATTGTTTCCTTTGCCGAGCAGAAGATTTTAGTTTGATGTGGTCCCATTTGTTCACTTTCGCTTTTGTTGTTTGTACTTTTGGTGTCATACCCCCCAAAACTGTGAAGACCAATTTCAAGGGGATTTCCCCCTCTGTTTTCTTCTAGGACTTTCATAGTTTCAGGTCTTACATTTAAGTCTTTAACTCATGCTGAGTTAAATTTTTTGAGTGGTGCAAGGTAGAGGTCCAATTTCATCCTTCTGTGTGTGGTTCTCTGGGTTTCCCAACCCCATTTATTGATGTGACTATCCTTTCCCCCATTGAATATGCTTGACTTCCTTGTCAAATATTAGTTGACCATATATGCATGGGTTTATTTTGGGGCTCCGAATTCTGTTCTGTTGGTCTATGTAGACACATTTTTATGCCAGCTGTTTTAATTACTACAGCTTTAGAGTATTGTTTGAAATCAGGAAGTGTGATGCTTCCAGTTCTATTCTTCTTTCTCAGGATTGCTTTAGCTATTCAGGGTCTTTTGTGTTTACAGACAAATTTTAGGATTTTTTTTCTATTTCTGTGAAAAATGCCATTGGATTTTTGTTAGAGATTGCTTTGAATCTATAGATCACTTTGGGTAGTATGGACATTTTAACAACATTAAATCTTATCCATGAACACAGGATATCTTTCCATTTGTTTGTGTCTTCTTCAATTTCTTTCATCAGTGTCTTATAGTTTTTAGTGTACAGATCTTTACCCCCTTGGTTAAATTCATTCTTAAGTATTTTATCATTTTTGATGCTATTGTAACTGGATTGTTTTCTTTATTTTTCAGATATTTTGTTGTTAGCTTATAGAAATGCAACTGGTGTGTTGATTTTTCTATTCTGTGACTTTACTGGTTCATTGATTGGGGCTGATAGTTTCTTGGTCTTTAGGATTTTCTCTATATAAGATCATATCATCTCAGCTGTCATTTATGGCTTTCACTGTGTTGAGGTATGTTCCTTCTATGGGTATAGAGAGTTTATTGAGAGTTTTTATCATGAAAAGATGTTGTATTTTGTCTAATGCCTTTTCTGCATGATTTTACAGTTTTTATCTTTCATTTTGTTTATGTGGTGTGTCACATTTATTGTTTGTGCATGTTGAAACATGTTTGCATTCCAGGGATAAATCCCACTTGGTCACAGCATATGATCCTTTCAATGGGCTGTTGAATTTGGTTCCCTAATATTTTTTTAAGAGATTTTATTTACGTGAGAGAGAGAGAGAGAGCACATGCACAGAGAGGGAGAAGCAGGCTCCCCACTGAGCAAGGAGGCCAACACGGGCCTCAATCCCAGGACCCTGAGATCATGACCCAAGCCAAAGGCAGATGCTTAACCAACTGAGCCACCCAGGCACCCCTGGTTTCCTAATATTTTATTGAGACTTTTAACCTCTATATTCATTAGGGATATTGGCCTGTAGTTTCTTAGAATATCATTGTCTGGCTTTGGTATCAAGGTAACGCTGGCCTTGTAAAATGAGTTTGTGAAGTAAGTATTATTCATTCCATTTGGTAAATTTGCAGGCTATTTGGAGAGGTTAAGTAATGTGCCCAAAGTCACACAGCTAGTTAGAAGCAGAGCTGGGGTGGGCCATCACATGCCCATTTTTAAGCACTGGGCCACTGCCTTCCGAGAGAGACCTTTTGCCTCACTGGAAAGGCTTCTTAGGGGAGGAGCACTTGAGTCAGGACTTTAAGGCAGGGATAGAGCAGTGAGTGACAAGATGAGGCCAGAGGCCAGGACACAAGGTCACACCCTCATCCTTTCCAACCCCATGTGCAAGTAAGGGGGCCATTTTGGGGTCATGTTGTATGGCTCTTACAAGTCCCCTGGAGTGTTGTTTGTAGAGCAAGGCAGAGACCTGCTGAGCATCTCATCCCTCAATCCCCTGAGCCCCGCAGGTGGGGAGCAGGATGGTGATGGTTGCTGCTGGCTGCTTGCTGCTCCTGATGGGCGTATTTGGGAAGATTGGGGCTGCCTTCGCCACCATCCCAACCCCTGTGATCGGAGGCATGTTCCTGGTGATGTTTGGGGTCATCACCGCCGTGGGGATCTCCAATCTGCAGGTGAGGCAAGGTGCTCCTAGAAGAGCAGCCAGGGAATCTCTTGAAAGGAGCCCAAGGGGATTGAGATGGAGGGAATAGGGCTGGGGCTGAGTGGAGGAGAAGGAATCATTGGTCCCAGAAACCACAGTGGCTTCCAAATGGAAGGCAGAAGTAGCCAGAAGCATCCAAACTTCTGAAAAACAGAAACTGCATCAGTTTGAATTGGGTCGTTCAGACCACTCAATTCCCAGGGCCAAGTGGGAATTGGGGCCTGGCTTGCCCACTGAGTGTGTTGCTAGGAGTCCAGCCTCAGTACCCCCCCAACCCTGGTGGCAGTGGGAGGGGAGTGGGCACTTGGAGGGGAGTTAGATTGCTATGCAGAACAGGTGCTGATGACTCTGGGCTTCCATGGTGGCCTCTCTCCTGCAGTACGTGGACATGAACTCATCCAGGAACCTCTTTATCTTTGGCTTCTCCATCTACTGTGGGCTCGCCATTCCCAGCTGGGTGAACAAGAACTCTGAGATGCTCCAGACAGGTGATTCTCTGTCTTCTAAACTGTGACCACTCCAGGAGCAGGGCCAGTGGGGACCTTGGTCCCTGGGAATCCCTGTTACTTTTGTCTTCACTCTAGGGATTCTCCAACTGGACCAGGTCATCCAGGTGCTGCTGACCACGGGCATGTTTGTTGGTGGATTTCTGGGCTTTTTCCTGGACAACACCATCCCTGGTAGGGCTCGCCTTCACTCTGTAGGCTGGTGGTGTGGGTAGATAGGCAGCATTTGGGCCACCCACATGGCTTCTCTGACCCTTATTACCATGTCAGGCTGACCACAGCATATCCTGAGCAGGCCCTGCCTCTGGGTGGGACATACAGGCCCGTATTAGCTTTCTAGGGCTGCCATAACAAAACACCCTGGACCGGTTTAAACAGCCAAAGTGTATTTCCTCACAGTCTGGAGGCTAGAAGACTGAGATCAAGGTGCTGGCAGAGTTGGTTTCTCCCGAGGCCTCTCTCCTTGGCTTGCAGATGGCCGCCTTCTTGCTGTGACCTCACATGGCCTTTCCTCTGGGTGGGTGCATCTCTGGTGTCTCTCTGTGTGTCCTAGGCTCTTCCTATAAGGACACTAGTCAGATTAGATTAAGGCCCACCCTAAAGACCTCATCTTTAATGGAATCACCTTTTTAAAGGTCCTATCTCCAAATATATTCACATTCTGAAGTAGGGAGGTTAAGGCTTCAACCTATGATTTTTGAGGGGACACAATTCAGCTAAACAGGGCCCTAAGGTGAGAAACACACTAGAAACAAAAACAGCTAAGAGCCCAAAGTCTGATTGGTGAGAGAGAGAATACATGTATTCTTTCTTCCTTTCTTTCTTTCTTTCTTTCTTTTCTTTCTTTCTTTCTTTCTTTCTTTTTTTGTAAAGATTTTATTTATTTATTTTGAGAGAGAGAGAGAATGAGAGAGAGAAGAGCACATGAGAGGGGGGAGGGTCAGAGGGAGAAGCAGACTCCCTGCCAAGCAGGGAGCCCGATGCGGGACTCGATCCAGGGACTCCAGGATCATGACCTGAGCTGAAGGCAGTCGCTTAACCAACTGAGCCACCCAGGTGCCCTCTTCCTTCCTTCCTTCCTTTCTTTCTTTTTCTTTCTTTCTTTCTTTCTTTCTTTCTTTCTTTCTTTCTTTCTTTCTTTCTTTCTTTCTTCCTTCCTTCCTTCCTTCCTTCCTTCCTTCCTTCCTTCCTTCCTTCCTTCCCTCCTTCCTCTCTCTCTCTCTCCCTCCCTCCCTCCCTTCTTTCTTTCTCTTTCTTTCTTTCTTTCTTCCTTCCTTCCTTCCTTTTTTTTCTCTCTCCCTCCCTCCCTTCTTTCTCTCCCTCCCTCCCTTCTTTCTTTCTCTCTCTCTTTTTCTTCTTTCTTTTCTTTCTTTCTTTCTTTCTTTCTTTCTTTCTTTCTTTCTTTCTTTCTTCCTTCCTTCCTTCCTTCCTTCCTTCCTTCCTTCCTTCCTTCCCTCCTTCCTCTCTCTCTCTCTCCCTCCCTCCCTCCCTTCTTTCTTTCTCTTTCTTTCTTTCTTTCTTCCTTCCTTCCTTCCTTTTTTTTCTCTCTCCCTCCCTCCCTTCTTTCTCTCCCTCCCTCCCTTCTTTCTTTCTCTCTCTCTTTTTCTTCTTTCTTTTCTTTCTTTCTTTCTTTCTTTCTTTCTTTCTTTCTTTCTTTCTTTCCTTCTTTCTTTCTTTCTTTCTCTTTCTCTCTTTCTTTTCTTTCTTTCCATAAAAACCCATTGAACACTTGCTGTGTTCCAGGTGCTATGTACTGAGAATACAAAGAGCAGAAAGACATGCCTTCCACCTTCCAGAAACCCACAGGCTAACAGGGGAGAAAGACAAGAGAACAGACAATGAGAATAGAGGGTAATACATGTGGTAAGGAGCAAACCGAGTCCCTGGGTGCTGAGGATGTCGCAGTGAGGAGTGCAGGGCCACCCTCATGGATGGCTTTCAATGCTCCCTTCTTGAACCTCCCACGGCCTCTTGAGAGGACCTTTAGGATAGCACCTGCTTCGTGGTACTCTATTTTCCGCATTTGTTCTCTCCACGTTTAAAGTGCATCTGCATTCTAGAAACAAAGCGTGGAAAGACCCGCCCCTTGAAGATGAGGAAAGGATGGTGTTCAGAGAAGATTGTACCATCCAGCAGTGGGAGCTCAGGGAATGCCCTGGAGCGCCCTGAGCTGTGACTCCGAATGGGCAGAGAAGGAGGAGGTGCTGTTGGCAGGTGGAGGGCGCGGAGAGGAGACCCCACGAGTGCCTGCCGGGGGCGCCAGAGGTTCCCCCAGCCCAGCGGGTGCTCTGGTCAGTGCCCAGTGCTGACTGCTTGCTGTCTCCCATTAGGAAGCCTGGAGGAGAGAGGCCTCCTGGTGTGGAATCAAATCCAAGAGGAGTCTGAGGAGACTACGAAGGCATTGGAGGTGTACCGCCTCCCCTGCGGGATTGGCACCAAGTCCTGCACGTCCCCCTGCACCCAGTACCTCCCGTTCTGGCCCAGGCTAGAAGCTGGGAAAGGTGAGCGGGGAATGAGCCTGTTCGCCTGCCTCTTCCAGGATCCCTCAGGAGAGTGCCCGAAGGGTGCCACGGAAACCAAGTTATGAGAAGAACTGTCCTCACGCCTGCCCCAAAGTGCTCTTCACCCCCCCCCCCGCCCACCCCATGAGATCATCTCCCCGTGCGAGGATGGGTGGGCACCCTGCAGTGGTGGCAGCCAAATGAGTATTCGATTAAGACCATGACGAAGGTGCTTTGACACAGTGACTTAAACACCACAGCCTTCCACTGCGCTCCAGTGAAAACCAGTCTCCTATCTCCAGCATAAGCCAGTGTAACCCAGTGTCCGCACAGAGAATCTCTCAGTCCACATGTTCTCGGCCATAATTTGATGCGTTGGAAGAGGCCTGGGGTGCGGCCGGGGACGGAGACGGGGCTGTTTGCTGAAAGGCGAGCCCCTCTTGTCCTCCCCTCCGTGCACCTGCCCCTCAGGGCTGGCTCTTCGGGAGAGGTGAGGAGCACCCTCTGTTCCTCCAGCACCCGCTCTGAGCTCCTGGTGCTCCAGCCCGCGGCCGGCTCGGGCTGTTTGTGATGGATTGTTCTTTAATCGCACATTCTGGGAATCAAGTGCACGCACTCTGGCTTAGGCTTTGGCTTGCTCACGTAGGCTGCCAAGGGATTGGAACCCACTCCACCTAACGGCCTCCTTGTTTCCTTATTTTAAGAGGCCACAAGACCGCCGCACGAACTCCTGCCTGAGTTTCCAGCTGGCTGGTCTGCCCTGCAAATTTCACATTTGCAGTCTCCACCATTAATACTTAAATCTATACCTACACCACTACCCATATGCACACCTATCCTCTTGGGTCTGTTTCTCTGACGGATACAGTCCTGGCTAATACGGGAAGATATCATCAGTTAAGACACAGGAAGATACCTGACCGATGTAGGAAGAGGCCTGGGTCGGCAGAACGGGAGGGCAAGCCCCGTCGGAGGGGATTTTAAAGCAACACATCCATCCTGGGCTGCACCATATCCAGTGAGCAGAGGCGAGCAGAGGGCCGTTGGGGCTGAGTGGGGGCGGGGAGGCTCCTAGCACGTGGCCGTGGGGAGAAGGAACAGCATTCCCCTGAGGTCCACGCTGACCAGGGCCCCACTGGCTCATGATGCTCCAGGAATGAGGACTGAATGGGAGTGCGTGGGGGCTGGCTAGAGCCGGCACTCGTGCCCTGAGGACCTGCTGGGTGCGGGCACCTCTGTAAGACTTTCTCCTGTCCCACATGCTGGCCTGCTCTTGACCGGGGGGACTGGCTGGGGGTGGTCGTGAGCACTGAGTGCCTGGGCGCTGGGGCCGTGCGCGCTCCCCTTTCCTTCCTTCCCCGCACACGTGTGGGCAACCCCGAGGATAAAGGCCCGGCCTGCCCCTCCTCTGGGTTGTTTATGAAAAGCTACGGTCCTTGCATATCCGCCGTGGGAGTCCCTGGGGGTGGGCTGGTGACAGGACGTGAGGCGAGGTGTGAGCCCTGGGGCTGAGAGCAGGCCGGACTGTGCTTGGGTCCTAACACCTAACCTGCACGGTTTCTTCCCGGGAGATGGAACAGCCGAAGGATTTGGGAGGCCTTCCGGGGAGGGGGGCCACTGTAATGATGATGGGAAACTGTAAAAAGCCAGGGAACCCGTTCTCTGCACACCCGGTGGGTTAGTCAGGGTTCTCCAGAGAAACAGAGTCACTAGGATGTAGGACGTGTGAGCACGCGTGCACACACACACACACACACACGCCCACACGCTATATCCGTGTGCGTACACACACATACGTAGGGAGAGAGAGATGTTACGGAATGGGCTTGCGTGGTTGTGGAAGCTGGAATGTCCGCAGTGGGCAGGGTGGGCTGACAGACTGGGGAGCGTTGCTGTTCGTGTCTGAAGGCACTTGCCTCCTCCTCATGGGAGGTCAGTCTTGGTGGGATGAGGCTGACCCATATTATGGAGGGTAATTACTCCATATTTACTCAAAGTCTGCTGGTTTAAATGTTTATCTCATCTCAAAATACCGTCATAGAAACATCGAGAAGAATGTGTGCCCAAATATCTGCGTACCGTGGCCTGGTCACGTTGGCACATAGAATCTGCTGTCACATCCAATGTGCACGCCCAGGAGCCTCACCAGAAAGCACTCAGCACACGGTGGAATCTGGCTTGATCTCCACTTAGGAGTCTCTATTGCCAGAAGAAGCAGATGAAGCTGGTTCTACCCTGATGTCCTATAGTTCCTATGCACAGGTGTGGTCCGCACCATTCTTGGGCTCCCAGAGCATGCAGGATGAGTGAGTGGCCTCCAGAACTCTCTAGAACCCACCAGAACTCTGCCCTGAACCCAAGGTGTGCTGAAAGTACCTAGTGTCATGGCATCTCTGGGGACAGATCCTGCCCGTCCTTTCTCGAAAGGCCCGTGGCCTGGGCTTCAGGCAGGCTGCACCCAGGACCCCTGAATAGGAACACAGGAGGGGCAGGTGTGTACCTACAGCCAGCCACTTATACCAAACGACCCTGAAAGACTGACACAGGGCCACACTACTTGTCAAGACTTTATAATAATCAGAAACTCAAACCATCAAAATGCTCTGGGACAGCCACCCCGAACTGTCCCGGGAGGGGGAGGCAGGTACAGCCTTGGCTGCCAGCATTAGTGCTTGGAAACTGCCCACCTCATTCATCCCCTCCCGTCCCAGCCCTTCTGTATCACAGATCTTCATCATCGAAGGTCTCCATGCACCTCAGCATTATCATCTCATCGTCAATGGGGAGGTCTGGGTCCTGCAAAACACAGGGTGCAAGAGGATCATGTATTTAAGGAATCCAGGCCCCTCGGAGTCTACCCCATCTCTTGCTGCATCTTCTTCTCCAGCTTCCAGCCAGGAAGTAAGGGCTATGGGGCCGGGGGGGTGGGGGTGGGCATTTCCATTTCATGCAACTCCACACTCTATGATCTTCAGAAAGGGTTTTCCTGGACACAACAGAACTGGCTTCTTTTCCATCCTGGGCATTTGCAGGATCTCAGAAGACAGAGGGGAGACCTCTCAAAGCTTTATCCAAATGCCCATCCACGGAGGATGGTGAATCACACCACGGTGCGCCCACCAAGGGAATACCAGGAAGCTGTTTGAAATAACAGGAATGAGGTCGTTCTCTTTGCGATATACTATTTAAAAAGAAAAGAGGAGGGCAAGTGGGTGGCTCAGTCGGTTGTGTCCGACTCGTGGTTTCGACTCAGGTCATGATCTCAGGGCTGTGGGATTGAGCCCCCACCTCCCTTCAGGCTCTGCGCTCAGCAGGGAATCTGCCTGAGATTCTCCCTCTCCCGCTGGTGCTAAGTAAAATCTTAAAAAAAAAAAAAAAAAAAAAAAGAGCAAGTACAATATAATGTAGTGTAGGCTCTCATTTGTGTTGGAAAGAATATATAAATATCTGTAGATTATCTCTGGATGGCTGTTCAAGAAACCAGTAATAGTAATGGCCTTTGGGGAAGGGAATGGGGCATAAACGAGGGACACTGGTAGGAGAGAGACTAAGTTTTCTTTGTATATCTTTTGGTAACCTTCAAGTTTTAAACTATATACGTGGGTTAACTATTAGCTAATTGCTTAAGAAGCAGCACTAGGTTATTTTATTCCCTTTATAATGACCCCCCACTGACTTCTCTGACCCCCATTACCTCTTCCCCTAACAGTGTGTTCCTGGGTTTGGTTCTTCCTGTCTTTCCTCACCTTGGCAGAAAAATGGTAGTTTGTCATGGGCTGGTTCCCTTGGGCCCTGGGAAGTGTCCCCAAAGCCAGTCAACCATCCCATGAATGTGAGACCCAGTCCCCAGGGTGACAGCCAGGTTGGGAGCTGACTCTGCAGACAAAGCCTCTCCAGCTCTGGACAACGTCCTCACTGTGCTCTATTGATGGAGGTGGGGGGTGCGTGGGGGGCCGGCGTATCTGAGAGAGGACCAGGTGGTCTCTGGGAAAATCACACGGGCCCCTTCTTCAGGGTGAAGACCAGAGCAAAGCTTGAGAAAAGGTGGAGTGGAGCGCAGGGGGCACCAGGAGGCCAAGGGTCCCGGGAGGGACCACACACGAGTCTCGGTCGCACCAAGTGCTTGAATGTTGTTCACAATGGTCCAGTTCCCTAAGCCCCTGAAAATGGTGTCTGAGACCTTTTTAGGCTGCAGATCTGGGAAAGCAACAGGCTGTGAGAGGTACCTGCTGGTATTGGGTGCTGAGGTATGTTGAATAGTATCCTTCCTACCCCACTTCATGACCACCTGGAACCTTCTTTGGAAATAGGGTCTTTGCAGGTGTAATTAGCTAAGGACTACAAGATGAGCTCCACCTGGATTTAGGGTGGGCCCTTCATCCAAATGACCAGTGTCTTTATAAGAAGATGAGAGGGCTAGAGAGACACACAGAAGGCCTTGTGAAGACAGGGGGCCTTGGTTGGAGGGATTCAGCAGTGAGCCAAGGCATACGGACGACTGCCAGGAGCCACCTGGAGCTAGGAAGAGGGAAGGAAAGACCTTCCCTCGAGCCTTCAGAGGCAACATTTGGCCTTTAGCCTCCAGAACTGTGAGGGAAGCAATTTTTGTTGTTTTAAGCCACCAGGTTTGCGGTAATTTGTTACAGGTGCTAATTAAAGTTTCATCCAACGACCTCGTGAAGTTCACGGGAAGGGGAGGGGGGAAGAGAACGATATTTTCCTCTTTAGAGCAGCGTAGGCTGGAGGCCTCGTGCACCGGAGCCAACCTGGACAGCCAACTGGACAGCTCATTCAAAATACAGATTCTTGGGGTCCCACCTCGAAACACTGAATGAGCATCTTGGGTGCTGGGGCATCAAGAATCTGCATTTCCAGTTAGTTTCCAAGACGATTCAAGTTCGAGCATCTCTGCTTTGTACGGATACTCCAATCCTGCCTGAGCTTTCTTTTCTACCATATGCGGGGAAAGGAAGCAGGGAAAGCAAAGACCATCCTGTTGATCTGTTCCCCAGGCCTCAAGGAAGTGGACTGACTTCCCTGTGTCTGAGAGAAAGAGGGACACAGTGGTAAGGACCAGACAGCCAAGGGTTGGTGGGAGGCGGAGAGCAGCCAGAGAGGGGGCCCTGGGCTCCAAGTGGAGATTCAAAGTGGTCCTGGCAGAGGGAAATGAAGGATTCGTGGGGAGGGGGCCAAATTATACCTTGGCCTGTTGGAAAGCTGCCCCAATTATTTTTAGACAAACGTTGTCATTATTATTGCTTACCTTTTTAAAGAAACAGTTGTATCTTTGCTGAATTAGTAGAGAAAATCCTTGGCTATGAATCTGAAAGGGCCTGTCCCCTTGGTGGCTCAGGCATAACTCCCCTTTCCTCATGGAAGTTTCTGGAATGTCCCTTTTAATCAAGACACAGCCAGCTTTTGGGAAGTAGAAATTACAAACGCTGATGGCAAATATTAGCCCAGGGTCTCAGAAGACGGCAGAACAGCTCAGTCTCTTGGAAAGGAGTCACACAACATTTACAAATGCCTGCAAAGAGTCAAGCCCCCGGGATCTGGTCGCCACTTCAAGGGGCTCCCCGTCTCAGGCCTGCCCTGGAGACCATCTGTGTGTCTCTTCCCTCCGTTTCCCTGGACGTCTTCCATCCCCCAGGATGCATCAGGCTGATGCCCACCATCAATGGAACAGGCTGAGAGAATGAAGGGACATCCGCCTTCAGTGGCCCCCTGTGGTGTGATGTGAGTGAGGTCCAGCTGGGGGCGGGGGCGGGGCTCAAGCGTCCTTCCCACCATCCTAAGGGAGGTGAACGGGGGTCTCTTTGCACTCCGCTCCGTCCTACCTGTTTTAACTGAGGGTTAACACAGCAAAGGCCTTTAAAAAAATCGATGATCTGCATATAGAGCTGAAACTTCTCCTCTGGATATTCTGGGTTGCCGCCGGTGAACACCGAACTGACAACAGAAAGGGGAAGACACAGCAACTATTTAGAACCCTCCTCTTTGGCCTCTGCTTGCACCCCCTAAAATACCTGGGTTACAGGGCGAACCAGGCACTTGTAAACACCCCACTGAATTCATTCACAGACAGGCTGGAGGCCCTTTGGAAGGTTTGTGTTGCCTCAGCTTCCGTGTCGCGGGTGGAACCGATGGGAAAAGGGAGACTCTAGGGAGACTGGTTCTCCCCCCCTAATTTAGTGTTCTGAGCTGTGGCCTCTGGAAGAAGGAGCAAAACGGCCTCTCTCCTTCCGAGTCTCCCTCAGAGAGCCGTGCCCCGCGGTCCTGGTCCCCCATGGCTGCCTGGGGAGCTCAGGGGGCCCCGGCCACGCTTGAGCTCAGTCCCCCCGAGATGCCCCCCCTCCACAGGGGGACAGACCCCGGTTCAGGGAGGCGGCCTGTGTCACAGACTCCTTCCCCCTGCCTTCCTGGGACCAGGGGAGCAGCCCCATGATGTCAGGAGCCTGAAGTGGTGCCCGGAAAGCCTGCGTGTTGACCTCATGTCCTCTTGGAAGCAGGTCCCACAAGCCGTGTAGGAACCCTCTGGCAGCAATCCCTCCCTTCTCCAGGGATGGCAGAGAACATTTTCTAATAGGTTGTTTTCGTGTTCCATCAGCAGGGTAAGGAGTTCCAGATCCTGCTTGGCAAGTATGCTCTGGCAACTTCTTACCAAACTTCTCCTCACAGCTCGAGCCTGGCTCAGAAATAGGAAAGTCCGCCTCCAGCCCATTTCAGCAAAACCAGACTCCACACACACACGGCTGACAGGAGCTGGAGTCCCCAAAGCATAAAATCGCTTTGGAGGGTTTGGACGAGTCTGTTGAGGCTGGGTGGAGCAGGTCGCTGCGGGGGAGACAGGTTGATGTCTGGTGACTCCCCCAGGGGACCAGGGGTCGTGTGGCCTCGGGGGAGAGTGGGGATAGTCGTTGGAAATGAGAACAGGAACGTCCCCTCTCTCCCAAGGCAGGAAAATGAAATGTTCTGGCCACCTTTTTAGCTTTCTTAACGGCCTATGCCTGTAGGCTCTAAGACCACAGCTTTTCAAAGTAGCAAGGGACAATCTCAGTCCTAAACTAGCTCTCTTTGCGAAAATGGCCCCGTGCTACAGATTTTTTCAAGCTGCTTGTCTTGCCATCTCCCCAGATCCTGCTTTGTGTCATCTCCCTTCACGGCGTCAGCCATCCCCTCCTCCCTTCTTTCCACATCCGTCCCCAGCAGCCCCGTGCAAAGCAGCTTCTCCCCTGCACGGCTCAGACCCCCTCAGCCCAGAGCACAGGCCCGGTGACGTGTTGGCCCAGGTTCTCGATGCCCCCGAGCCCCCGCCCACCTCTCGGACCAGGGACAGACAGGTCCCTGTGGCAACCTGTCCACGGCCCCCTCACTCTGGGAAGACGATGCAGTGTGGACAACGTGCAGCCCATAACCTGCCGCGTCTCTGTCCTGGGCCAGGATGGGAGAGTCCTCTACCCAGAAGAAGCCCCAGACTGTGTCCTCCCTAGAGCAGTAGCACAATCCTGGGACCAGCCCACTTTGAACCACAGACAAAAGTGGATCTCTAAGAACTTCCACGGAATTATGCACCCCTCAGCGGGGCTGCAGGGGAGCGATTCCTAAACATCCCAGCAGGGGCACACACACACTCACTATGTCATACC